TTCCCTCTGGTCAACTTTATCAGTAAACATTCCACGTTTAACCTAAATACTCAAACCTGGTCTATATTTCATAGCATCCACTCCACGTGGACAAACATTAAAGACTTCAGTGACACTAACACAAACATTAACACAGTATACATTTCACTCTGACTAACATTAAGTGTATATTTCATGTTACTAGTACCTGTATGCCTTCATGGTTAACAGTACCCACTATAAACTTTCTCATGCTGTCAATATACACATCACCGGTGTGTGTTTAAGGCAGTGAGAAGAGGGGGGGGGGTGCAACCCCCATTACATTGTTCACAAGATTTACCTCCTGTGTATGTAAAGCAGGGCACCTTTAAGTAATTTTCCACAGATACTTAATCAATGAGTTAGATTCAGATTCGCTCTCACTATGTGAAGCAAGTTTACATTCAGGCTTAGACCAATGCTTGTGTCGACTTTCCTTCTCATTATTGCACTTATTTCTTACATCAAGGGGAAAGCCAGTGAAATTTGCTAAAAACATCAGATCACTACCTGACCCGGTAGTGGCTAATGCACTTGTGCCCCTACTGTGTGGCTGTGATACAATGACCTGATCAAACTGAAGACGAGATCAATGCAGAAATCGGGGTGTTGTGGCAACCAGGATGTTAACTGCGATCAAGTTTTCATGACGACCGGATCATCCGGGACGCCTGGTAGTCACGGTGACTGGCAAGTTGCAGAGAAGAGATCACCATGAAGTCTGAGTCATCGCAGAGCCCTCGTCGACATAACAAGCACATCGTTGTGGCACCTACGTTGTCGCGGCGACCAACTCGTCACAGGCACCTAGGTCGTCGTGGCACCTACGTCGTCGTGGCAACCGACTCGTCACAGGCACCTAGCCTGTGGCAACGTAGGTGCCGCGACGACCTAGGTACCTGTAACGACGTAGGTGCCTGTGACGAGTTGGTGGCCATGACGATGTAGGTGCCTGTGGCAACGTAGGTGCCGCGACGACCTAGGTACCTGTAACGACGTATTGGTGGCCATGACGATGTAGGTGCCTGTGGCAACGTAGGTGCCGCGACGACCTAGGTGCCTGTAACGACGTAGGTCTCGTCACAGGCACCTTACGTCGTTACAGGTACCTAGGTCGTCGCGGCACCTACGTTGCCACAGGCACCTACATCGTCATGGCCACCAACTCGTCACAGGCACCTACGTCGTTACAGGTACCTAGGTCGTCGCGGCACCTACGTTGCCACAGGCACCTACATCGTCATGGCCACCAACTCGTCACAGGCACCTACGTCGTTACAGGTACCTAGGTCGTCGCGGCACCTACGTTGCCACAGGCACCTACATCGTCATGGCCACCAACTCGTCACAGGCACCTAGGTCGTCGTGGCACCTACATCGTCATGGCCACCAACTCGTCACAGGCACCTACGTCGTTACAGGTACCTAGGTCGTCG